GAGGAGGGAAAATGCAGTGACTCATTCAAAACACTTTGGGGATGGAAATGATGTTAGAAACCAGGCTGAGCTTCACAAAGCCTTGTACTTACAGGCCTTTACTGAGCCCAAAGCTACCTGTGCTGATGGTGTAAATCAATCAAAAAGAAACAGTTCAGAAGGTAATGTGGGAAGAGAGTGGAATTAATATTACTTTTGCTAGAAGGAACTGAGCAAATCTCTGCACATACGCTTTGTACCATACTTAAGCAACATGTCCTACATGAACATATGGCCCCTTGAGAACTGAGCATATGTAGGACCTTCGTACCACAGCACAAGCACTGATGGTTTTCCAGCGAGGACTGTCCCCAGGAACCTGGTCCTGATTGCAGCAAAGTGAATCCAAGCCGTGGCCAGGGATGTCGTGGGACATCCTGTGTTACCAGGACTGAGCTCCTCCCTTGGCCAAGAAGCAGCCACCAGCAAGCACAACAACGTCCCACCTCGTTTTCTTCTTGTTGCAGTATCCTGATGCCTCCATGGCAGTGAACACTGATCGGGGGATGCTCATCAGAAAGCTAGCAGAGTGTTTTCACTATAAATGGTCACTCAGATTTAAATATTTTTCCTGTTTATACTTGGCAGCAAGGGATCCTACCAAAGACAGAGTGCTAAAATGCCAAAAAGGGGCAGGGTGGAAGGAAGGGCATTTATCAGTGGAGCTGACAAAAGGTAGCGATGCTCTGAGCATCGTCTCACACATTTTGCCCATTCTAGCTGCAGAGAGCAGTGTAAGACACAGACCAGAGGGCAGTCACGCTCTGTGCCAAAGGGATCGGAGCAGTTTGCCCAATGCAAACATTGGACTCAGTGCAGATGATGCTGAGAGCAGAGATTTTTGTTCCCAGCTGGCTTGCTTTGCCTCTTACCCCTCGGCACTGCAAAGCTGCTGATGGCCAGCCTCCCACTCTGGAGCAAGTGCTATGAAACACTTGGGGATACAGGCAGCAAGTCAACACATCACAGGAAGAGAAACAAAACAGGACAGAGACTTGCAGCCCGTCTTATCCAACTTCTCAGCTGTATCCTTTAGGCAGGGTGAAAGTCTCTGGCAGGTGGAGCTGTCTTTGCTGTTGTTTCCACATGAGAAGACAAAATTGTTGTTTTCTCTAGAGTATAGCGATGGCTTAGAGCAATTTCAGAGGGGATGTGAATGCCCTAGTGCCTTTGCCAGCGATATCACACCCAGGGATCTGCTCACAGCGGCTCTCCATGACCATTCACAGAATACTCTTTTTCGAGCCCCCACCTCCGGCAGAGAACAGAGGGGAGAGCCTACCTCTGTCCCAATGATGACCTGGGTACCCTGGGGGGCACAAGCAGACGATGCCTCCATCATATTCCTGGGAGGTGCCAGCTCCACTGAGCTGCTCAGCATGGCTGGGGTGCAGCCACGTCCCCCAGGAACAGCAATTCAGAGGGGCGACTGATGCCTGCTGCTATGGTGCAGTGGGGGAAAGCCAGATATGCATCTCCTGGAGCTTCCCTTGAACTGGTCCTCTGCTGCTCTCCCCAGGGACATGTAATTGCCATGGGCAGGCAGGAGGGAGGTCTTGGAGGCTTCTAGGGATGCAGTTATGGTGGCTGGATAAATGCATTACCTGCTCAAACATGGGCTATCATTCGTTAAGACAGAAGCTATGAACACGACCTGTAAAAAATCCCACATGTTTATGGCTTCCCACCACAATAATGTTCTGCTCCCCTGTTAATGTTCTCTGCTGTAGAAAAAGCAAAAAAGTGACGGCTATGCCCTCTCCCTCCCTTCCCTTCCACAGCGCATTCCCTTCCATACAAGAAGAAGACGATACCTTCTGTAGTGGGTCCTAATGTGTCTATTGCTTCTTGGGAGACTTGAGGCAGGTCAGCAGTCGCGGTGGCCAGCAGATGGGAATTCTCTAGAACAACAGCTGTCTCCATCTCTTGTCCTGACACCACGGGAGGGGAGGGCTCTATTTCAAGCTGAGCCTCTTCAGGGTTCCTGGGTGCCTGTGTTGGTTCAACATCTGGAGTACTGGTACTAATTACAACATCTGGGACAGAGGTTTCTCCTGAAACGGCTGCAATCGAGTGTGTCACAGCTCCAGATGTTGCGTCAGGAATTTCCTTCCTCTCCAGAGCACCAGAGGGCTCACCACTGGCCAAAGATGTGGCAGCTGTTTCGAAGTTAGCAGCAGGCAATGCAGATGCTTCTCCACTGGTTTCATGGACTGTGGATGTTTCTATATTAGTCTCATGAAATGCAGATGTTTCACCCCGAGCTTCTTGACTTGTGGATGTTTCTATTCTAATTTCAGGAAATGCAGAGGTTTCTCCACTTACTTCTTGAACTGTGGATGTTTCTATGCTAATTTCGGGATAGGCAGATGTTTCACCCCTGGCTTCTTGACTTGTTGGTGTTTCTACACTAATCTCAGGGAATGCAGATGTTTCCCCACCAATTTCATGGACTGTAGAAGTTTCTATGCTAACCTCAGGAAAGGCAGATGTTTCCCCACTGATTTCATGGACTGTAGAAGTTTCTATGATAACCTCAGGAAATGCAGATGTTTCACCTCGAGCTTCTTGACTTGTGGATGTTTCTATTCTAATTTCAGGAAATGCAGAACTTTCTCCACTGATTTCATGAACCGTCGAAGTTTCTATGCTAATTTCAGGAAAGGCAGATGTTTCTCCACTGATTTCATGGACCGTCGAAGTTTCTATGCTGATTTCGGGAAATGCAGATGTTTCCCCACTGGTTTCATGAACTGTGGATGTTTCTATACTAATTTCAGGATAGGCAGATGTTTCACCCCTGGTTTCTTGATTTGTGGATGTTTCTATTCTAATTTCAGGAAATGCAGAACTTTCTCCACTGATTTCGTGTATTGTTGAAGTTTCTATGCTAATTTCAGGAAAGGCAGATGTTTCTCCACTGGTTTCATGGACTGTGGAAGTTTCTATGCTAATTTCAGGAAAGGCAGATGTTTCTCCACTGATTTCATGGACTGTGGAAGTTTCTATGCTAATTTCAGGAAAGGCAGATGTTTCTCCACTGATTTCGTGTACTGTTGAAGTTTCTATGCTAATTTCAGGAAAGGCAGAGGTTTCTCCACTGGTTTCATGGACTGTGGATGTTTCTATTCTAATTTCAGGGTAGCCAGATGTTTCACCCCTGGCCTCTTGACTTGTGAATGTTTCTATTCTAATTTCAGGAAATGCAGATGTTTCCCCACTGATTTCTTGTATTGTGGATGTTTCTGTGCTAATTTCAGGAAATGCAGAGGTTTCCCCACTTACTTCTTGAACTGTGGATGTTTCTATGATAATTTCAGGGTAGCCAGATGTTTCACCCCTGGCTTCTTGACTTGTGGATGTTTCTGTGATAATTTCAGGAAGTGCAGATGTTTCTCCACTGATTTCTTGAATTGTTGATGTTTCTATGCTAAATTCAGGAAATGCAGATGTCTCCCCACTGATTTCATGAATCGTGGACGTTTCTACACTGGTTTCAGGAAATGCAGATGTTTCCCCACTGATGTCTTGAATCCTGGCTGTTTCTATAGCACTTTCAGGAAATGCAGATGTTTCACCACTGATTTCATAAGCTGTTGATGTTTCTATACCTCTTTCTGGCAATGCAGATGTTTCCCCACTTAGTTCACCAGATGCAGAGACCTCACCACTTGGCCCAAAACTGTAGGGAGTGACAGCTGTTTCCCCCCCTAGTTCCTGTGATACTGTTGGTCTTGTCACAACTTCTACTAAATCAGAAGTGACTAAAGTGACTTCTGGAAGCCCTGAGGCCTCCCCACTAACATCAGTCACTGCTGAAGATTGTCCACTTAGATCTGTGGCTCCAGAAATGTCTCCACTGATGTACGGGATCCCAGATGGCTCTCCACTGAAGTCTTGTGTCCCTGAAGGAAACCCACTAGTCTCCACGGCTCCGGATCCTTCTCCAGATAGTCCTCTGTCTCCCGAAAGAAATCCACTGATTTCTATTACCCCAGATGGCCCTTCTCCCACCTCTTGTGCAACCGACGTCTGTGTTACAACTTCCACCAAAGTTGTATCCACAAGAGAGACTGTGGGAAAGCCAGAGGTGAGCCCACTTTCCTCTCCCGACAGTAGGCCACTGGTGACATCAACTCCAGAGACTTCTCCACTGCTGTCAATCACTCCACTCGGATGTCCGCTCATCTCGAGCACTCCAGAAACACTCCCACCAAAGTCTACATACCCAGAAGGCTCACCACTGATGTCTAAACTCCCAGATACCATGCCTGATGCATCTTCTCCTCCTGAAGACAATCCACTGATTTCCAAAATCTCTTTTGCTTCTGCTCCTGTAATTGAGGGGGTTGTTGTCACTTCCTCCAAACTGGTATCTACAAAGGTAATGCCCGAGGCCTCACCGCTTCCATCAATACCAGAAGTAAGGCCACTTAGGTCCACCAGGCCACTGACCTCATGAGTTCCAGATGGTTCTCCGCTGACATCCAGTCCTGAGGGCAACCCGCTGAACTCAGGCCCTCCAGAGGGCTCCCCGCTGAGCTCGGGTACCCCAGAAGGCTCCCCACTAAGCTCAGGCCCTCCGGAGGGCTCTCCGCTGAGCTCGGGTACCCCAGAAGGCTCCCCACTAAGCTCAGGCCCTCCGGAGGGCTCCCCACTGAGCTCGGGTACCCCAGAAGGCTCCCCACTGAGCTCAGGCCCTCCGGAGGGCTCCCCACTGAGCTCAGGTACCCCAGAAGACTCCCCGCTGAGCTCAGTTCCTGAGGGTAAACCTTGGGTTCTGCCACTGGTGTCCCACTCAGTGGATGGGAGCCCTGACATATCTCCTTCACCGCTGACTCCGATGGATCCTTTTCCCTCCTCTTGCCGTTCTGGCACTGTTGTGACAACTTCCACCAATGTGGTATCCACAAGGGAGACAGTAGGAAAACCAGAGGCGAGCCCACTTTCCTCTCCAGATGACATGCCGCTGACTAGCTCAGTGCCAGAGACTTCTCCACTAAATCCAGAAGGCAGCCCACTGCTTTCCGCTCCAGATGGCATCCCACTAACTTCTGGTATCCTTGAAGTAGACAGCGATATATCTTCCTCTGCAGAAGGTAGGCCACTGATGTCAACAACGCCAGAAGGCATGCCACTCAGGTCCCCTGAGGGTAGCCCGCTTTCTCCAGGTAGAAAGCCACTGGTATGCAGGTCTACCGATGGTAATCCACTTTCTCCGATCCCTGAATGTTCTCCACTAAGTTCAAAAACTCCAGAAGCTGGTTCTCCACTTGTATCCGGGACTCCAGATACCCACCCGGATGCTGAAAATTCACCACTGACTTGATGTTCTCCAGATTCAGTCACTTCCCCTGACACTTCGCTGATGGAAGCATCGGTACTTGTTTCCTCTGGTATTATGGTAGTTGGAGGAAAAGCAGTTGGACTTACTGGAAAAGAAAAAGTGAACAAAGAGAGTGAGATACAAAAATTATTTACTAAATTGTTTTAAAGAAGTTATTAACAATTTTCTGGTTGACTTTACTTCCAAACTGATACCTTTGGGATAAAGGCACAAAGCCCTATGTGCTTGCAGAAATAATCTGGTCCCTTCAAATTTGTTAATGAACATTATATCTTAAACAACTATAAAGTAAGTATCTCTGGGAATCTGATGGAATATATAATCTTCTGACACAGGATGATAGCAACCAATTCCCAGGTGCCAAAACCAAGCTACTGCTTCCTTGGAGATAACATGTGGAAGAGAAAAAGCTTGGTGCTGCTCTGACCACACTGCAGCTCTGTCCTCCCTAGAAAGCATGGCCTGAGATCTGTTTCTAGCCTGTCTTCCCCATCCCGGTTACACAACAACATATTTCGTAAGGTGCTCTGGCAGTGCTGTGTGTGCTGGTCTGCTGGTCATTTAGTTCAGCCCTAGACAAAAGTTCAATTATATACATGTGTAGCTCCTCCTGTGTGCACAGACTCAGACTTTGCTAATACGGTGATAATCATCTACCTTTAGAGGGAGTCCCCTTCAGCAAGGACACCACAGCCCATTTATTTTGGGAGTGTCCCAACCCTATAACATCAGCCAAATGTGACCCAGGAGACGGGGAAGCTCTGACCCACCTGAGAGCAGCGACACATCAGTTGGAAAGACCTCTGTCCCCCAGGCTGTCTGATTCTCAGGTTGAGTGGCAAACTCTGTCTCCACAGTCACCTCCTCCCCAGAGGGTATCCCCTCCACTCCTGGGATCACTTGGGTTGCCAGCACATCTTCAAAGAACGAGGTGACTCCCTCCTCCTCTGCAGGTGGCAGACCTGGAACAAAAAGGTATTGGAGGGAGTTTCCAAAAATTCACAGTTCAAGATGCTGGTGAGGTGCTTTGCCCAAACCGGCACCCCGATATGCCCAACCTCCCTCATGAAATCCCTTTTCCCGAGGAGATAGGTCTACGCTCCCTGCAAAGGGTGGGAAATGTACCTCTGAAGCAGAAGGCATGATGCCGAGACAATGGGTCAGGAAAGCCCGTCTGGTTGTAGTGCTGGTAGACGGTTCTCACACCAGGCGCATCCCCCCCGCAAGCGGGACGGGGGCTTACGATGGGATAACGAAGGCTGCCGTCAGATAACCAGCCAGCGTAACATCTGTCCAGGCCCTGCTTCCAGGCGGCATGAAGTTGGCCAACAGAGGCCAGCGTGGCATTTTGGCTCTTACAGTACTGCTGAGCTTCTGGGAAGGTGAACTGCTCTGGCTGGGTTGCGAAGAACACCTCACCTGAGGTATGGGAGAGAAAACAGGCGTGAGTGTCTGCATCCCACCCAGGCACATGCAGACGTGGAGGTGTGAAGCACATTTTTGCTCCACAGCCGTGCCCAGAGGAAAGAAGAGAAAGTACCCTTGAGCCTGTCGATGTAGCAGTACACATCGTAGGTCTCCGAGGCTGGGCGCATGCCGTACGACCGCACACCTGGAGAGTTCTCTTTGTCTCCTATGCAGTTACTTCGGGGATTCACAATGGGATATCTACCAAAAGAAGAAGAAAAAAGGTAAGCCAAGTTCAACCTTATGTACCCTGGACTGAAGAACCTCAATGTACTTGGGAGCAGGACATGAACACTTCACCGTTAGAGGTGCTCAGAGCCCCCAGCGTGACTTGGAAACAAGTCCACTTACAGCTTGGGGCAACGAATACAAACTTTCCTCTGCTTTTCCTACATGTCAGGGGAGCTCAGTGCTGCAGGATGTATACACAGATTAGGAAACGGGTAGGAGAGGTTGAGAAGAACAGGTCTATTGGCCACTAGATATCACAGCCTGAAGACAACCTTAGGTCAGCAAAGTTTTAGATGCTAATGAGCGGAGCAGCAGGACAGACCAGAGTAAAGCCTCGATTTCATGGCTGAATAGTAATTTTGAGAGATGTCTTCACCAAGTCAATATAGTTTTACCTGACTGTCTGGTCCCGCAGCCAGCCGGCATCACACTGGTCAAAGCCAGCCTCATAGGCAGCCTGGAGCTGTTCGGGAGTGGCGATAACTGCGTTGTTCTCCAGGCAGGCCTGCTGGGCTTGGACGAAGGAGAAGGCGTATCTGCTGGTGGCAGCACGGTAGTGAAAGACCACACCTGGGGGAAGAGAAGTCATGGTGAGACAGCAGATATGGGACCCTCCCTCCACTGAGATGCGTGACCAGAAAGGGTCTTCCCAACAACAGTGCAAGGACCAGTGCCTGTCAAACCCACTTTGAAGGAGATGCCTCATTCACTGAGCTTTGCTGCCATTGAGGGTGATGTTCTGGGGATCTCTTTAGCCCTCCTCTAGGATCTTCCTACCTCGACTTTCCCCTTCCCTGGAGCCAGATGCCCATGGGAGTGCAGAGTGTGATCACTGCAGCCCCAAGCATCAGCCAGCTAAACCCTTTTCAGCACATGATGGGGTGGTCCACAACATCCTCCTCACCCTTCCTGACTACCGTAGTGGAGGCACTCAGCCTTTCCCTGAACCCAAACAGCCATGCACACTTTCAGGGATTTGGATGCCCTCTGTGACGGCAGAAACTCAGGCTGTTGTCAGCTGAATGGTTACCTCTAGGAGAAACTGATCTTCAGGCTTCTCAGAGTCCTGGTGACTTACCCGTGGGGGAGACGGGCTGCTCAGGGAGAAGACCGAGACCGGGGACTGCTGTCACTTGCACAAGCTGATCTTCCACTGTGAACGCCGAGGCAGACTCTAGTCCTGATGTGGCAGTTACCATCACAACCTGTTCCACCGAGCTCACTTCTGCCATTTCGGTGGTGAGGACAGTGCCTAAGGCTATGGTGGTGAGCTCTTCAGGTACAGCCCACACCCCTGTGACATCCCCCCTGGTGACGTTCTCTTCCTCAGGGGTAGCTGTCTCTACTGTGACACCGGTGGCGAAGAGATCGGGCAGGACGGTGAAGCCCTCGTACATCTCCGTGGCTGTGGGTGTGATCTCAATGGGCTCCAGGGTGGCGATGCTGCCACGGGCTTCCTCCTCCGTGGCGTTGCGTGGCAGAGGCAGCTCCATTTCGGTCTGGGTGACGGTCTGGACAGTGAAAGCGCTGCCCAACTCACCTCCCCTCTCATCGATGAACTGCCCTGGGACCAGAGTCTCAATGTCATCCCCTACATCAGGAAACAAAGCAGCAATCAGAGAGGACACGGTCAGTCTAGCAAGGTTTACGGTGCTGGTGCTGCCTCTGAGAAGCACCTGGGTGTTTGCTGGCTCTGAGAGGAGCAGGGAAATCATCCAGTCTGGTAAAAGAAATGGTTTTCCTTCCTCCACTCTGGCTCTTTACAACACCTGAGCACCGAGAGCATGTTCGTGAGTCAGAGGCAATGAGCCACCGCATGCTCCTCAGCTGGTAAATCAGAGAGGACTTTCCCTGCTCTCCTCCCAGCGATCCTTCCCGGGAACACCTTGTCCATATCCCAGTCTGCACTGACCTCTAGTGCCTGCTGCAAGGAATTTAAGGTGGCCGGAGGGAAGGAGGGGAGCTCGGATAACCTCCACAGTAGCTCTGAGACGTGGGAGAATGACAACTGGATCCTCACACTCAATGCATGAAGTCTCACCTGGATCATGATCTCCTTCTGCTCTGCCCAGGCGACGACTTAAGTCTTATCACATATAAGCATGGTAACCCCATCACCAGGTCAGCCAATGCCACTTGCTGTACCAAATATATTCAAACATCTCCCACCTTTCCACTCTCGAATCACTTTCCTGCTCAAGTGACATCCCTTGGGTGTAGGATAATGTACTTAACATGCCACTGAGCAGGTCAGCCTACAGCAAGGATGGTGGAGCATAAGTGCAGCATAAAACAGAACTGGGCAGGTGAGGGAGGGATGGGACATCTTGTATATGCAGCAAGGCAGGTCTCAGCTGGGGAGGGAGAGATAATGAGACACTGTCAGGCTTTTCCTCTGATACTGCTTTCCCTGCTCTATTTATTTCCAATTCCGTTTTCCTGCTAGTTCATTTTATCTGGTACCTCTCAGACCTCAAGGGATCCAGAGAATTAAATAGAGATGCTCAGACAAGGACTGGCTGTGCTCAGCAGTTTCAGATGCATGCTCTGAGATAACCAGAAAGCTGTGGCTTGGTGGACCAGTCTTTAGCTTGGCCATGCTGCTGGATACCTCCCAACGGGTCTGGGAGGTTTTACAGGGCCTCCTGACACACTGATCATGCAGGCATCTGGGCACAATAGGTTTGTATCAAAGGGGTTTCAAAACATTTTTAAAAATATTGTTATTTTTTTAAAGATGGCAATTCTATTTGAACGTTAGCCTCTGTTTGCCCTGAACAAACCATATACCACTGTGCTTTGCCCCCTTCTTGCTGCAGGGAGAAGTGTGCAGTTAGAAGAAAGGGGGAGTAGCTGCAATGCTCTCGGCTTCCTAGGTGCAATTTTGCCCCATTTCTGACTGCCAGCAACTGCCGCAGTCTCTGGTTTATCCCAGTCTTGAAACTCAGGCACGTGTCTGTACCACGTCACAGCATTATACACATCTTCAGGGTCAGACCTGTTTTCTTTTTCCTTCTCTTCCATCTCCAGCATTCAAAGTCTTGTACATGGAGCACCTGATCTCCTCTCCGTGTCTCCAGGAGAGCTACCAAATCTGGAAGGAGTGGGAGGACTGGAGAGAAGAGGGCTGTGTTACACCCACCTCCTCAGAGCTCCCCATACAGGTCAGGCATCCATGCCCTTTCTGGATCTGCATCCTACCTGAGCATGAACAGAGGACTAAGTCCTTTGCCAAACCTGCTTTTTCCCCTGCCCTCTTTAAAAAAAAAAAACCAACTAAAGAAGCCAGAGGTTAACTCTGGCCAGGGAGCTCCTGCTTGCTGATGTGTAGAGACACACTGCTCAGTCCCACAGCCCTGATGCACTCACCACTATAGCAGATGGCATCGTAGCGAGAGTCGGGGTGAGGGTACCCTGTTTGGTTGACGTACAGGTACACTGTTCGCACGCCCACCAGGTTTCCTCCGCAATTGGGCCGTGCTCTGGAAATGGGGTAGCGGACGCTGCGATCGGCCAGCCAGCCTGCGCTGCACATATCCATGCCGTCCTTCCAGGCCAAGTACAGCTCTCCCGTGGTGGCCAAACGGGCTCCCAAACTGCGGCATTTGTCGAAGGCTTCTTGGAAGGTGAACTTCTCTGGGGCGGTGGCATAGAAGACTTTACCTGCAATCACATCACCCATTAACACAGGAATGAGTTGTAGAATTTAATCCCAATTGCCTTTCTTTTCCCTCCCCACTCCCGAGTATCTGGATAAGATGAAAAATCCTGTGTATTACAGCTGAACTGCAACCCCATGTTGGTGACTGTCTATAAAGACCAGAAGAAAAAGAGTCTTACAGACTGAATACAGACTGGAGTAAAACACACTAAACCAGCTGGAGCCACAGGGCGAGAGGAAGATAAAGGACAATTTCAGTTCTGATGTGCTGAATATTTCAATGAATCCCTGACATAAGCATGGGTGATGGACGCCTCTGAATGTCACACCCTCAATGGATGACCAGAGACATGCAGGATGGCATGGACTCAAGTGGAGGTTAGACGAACTCCACCCTCTGTACCGCATTAGTCATTTGACATTAAAATTGTCCAAAGTCTAACAAAGAGACTGTAGAGAACATCTGGCCTTGCTGCTGTATGTGCTTTTCCATCTTTAACCTGTCTTGCCTCTAGGACCTTTGCCTCTGTATTTACTGTTGTCCGGTCTAGGCATGATCACAGCTTTGGCTGCTTCTATGTTCATTAACAACGAAAGCCCCAAATCACCTTGCATTTGCTCTGCATAGCAGTAAACATCATAGGTTTCATCTGGCTCACGGACACCGTAGGTCCTCACTCCTGGAAATTCATCCTTGTCGCCATAGCAGCGCTCCCGGGGCCAGTGGATGGGGTACCTGGAGAGAGAGGGTGCATAAGGAGCTGGGGAGAAGGGCCCTGGCAGCTACAGCGAGGCTGGGAGGGAGCTGCGGAGCACTGTGCAGTGTGACAATTTATGGCTTTTCCTGGGTTATGGGGAAGGGGAAGGATGATTTGCTGTCCTGCCCTCTCTCTGATGGTCCTGAGCACGGCAGGTCCCTGGGAACACTGGCCAAAGATGTCAGGCCAAGGTGCCTCCCCAGCAGGGGATGCACAGCTGGGTACAGTTGAGCCACACTTGTGCATGTTGGCATAGCATCTGTTTTGTTCAGGGAGGATGAAGGACCAGGGTTAAGCCATTGTCCACTCAGTCGTCACCACCAGCAGAGGAGGACGGTGGTTACCCTGCTTTCCTACTACAGAATCCCCCCTGGCAGAGAATGGCTTGCCATCCACCACCTCCCTCTGCACACCAGCAATTACAACAGCTGTTATTTAGCAACTGTTTCTCAACTGTTCTCAATCGGTGGCTTCATTACAGAAACCCTTCCCTAATGACCCTGCTGTGGCTTTCCTTGTCCCTCCACCATTCATTACCTGACAGTCTGATCAGCCAGCCAGCCAGCATCACACTGCTCGTACCCATCCTCGTAGGCAGCTTGCAGCTGCTCGGGAGTAGCAATGACAGCACTGTTCTGGATACAGGCCTGCTTTGCTTTCTCAAAGTTCAAGGTGTACCTTGTGGAGATTGCTCTGTAGTGGAATACGATGCCTGGAAAACACAATGGCCATTGCTCACATGTCTGCTAGAGAGCAACCAGCCCCTTTCCTTCTAAAGAAGTTATGGATTCAAAGAACAGATACTACATGTCAACTAGAAACAATGAAGTATTTATGCTGATTGTATCTGAGCATCTCAAGCCAAGGGTCACTTGATGGGCTTCTTTCACAGGACCTTGTGGAGCACATTGGTGACCTAGGACAGCGACTGCTCACCCATGGTGCTGTAACAAAGTCATGGTGGATTAAAAGCCTGTGCCTGAATAGTAGTGAGAACAGTGGGAGGAAACCCATTGCCCAGAACACAGAGCTATATCACTGTCAGAAGGGCTCAATACTTTTCTGATACAGATCTGTGCACTGTTTTAAACATATGGTTCAGAAATCAGCTAGTGGGGCAGAGCAGGGACTGTGCTGCCATGCAGGTTTGAAAGCTGCCACCTCCCAAGGTCCTGCTCAGGACCAAGGGTACACAGTGTCAATCACTGTAGAAACACTCAGGAAAAAATAGTGAGACAAATACATTTAAAATCTCCAGATCTGTTGCAAACATCTCTAAGTTGTATTTTTTTGATGAACACGGATCTTTGTAAAGGATGGCTAATGGTACACACTGGTCTGGCATGAATAGGCTTTAAGTCAAGTGGAAAATTCACCAGGAGGCAATGAGGAGGCTCCCAGCCTCCACTGTCAGGTATGTACTCCAGTGCATGTGAGCAGCAGAGACCTGCTGGTTAACTGTTGTAGTGGAAGCTGTCGCCCTGTCCTACACTGAAAGCAAAAACCATGATAAAGGTAAAGACTGTAGGAAACTTTTGTTATTTTATCCACCTATTACTAGGATGGGCTTTGCAAGATGATAGGGAAAGTTTTTCCAGAACAGACCAATTCTCCAGCTGAGGGCATCCCATCTCCTAGAATGCTGGAAGAAAAAAAAGGTCTTATAATGGCCCTATTCCAGCTTCACCCCTCTGAGCAACAGCCCAGCGTATCCAGTACCACCTCCTGCCAAGGATGTCGTCTTGCTGTCTCTGTAACTCACTTTCTGCCAGGAGAGTCATTTTATTGCCATATATTCTGCTATGAATCACTCTACTGGTTTGTTTAGTCTGGTTCTAGCCTGCTGAAATAAATGCCTGGCCCAGGGCTTCTGCTCACCTACCCACTGCCTTATCTGTGACCTGACTGAAAGCGTTTATGCCTATGGGGAGAGCAGTACCTCCTCTGCCCATAGATTTCTTCCTCCCCTTCTGTCCAGGCCAGGCAGCAAGATCTTGAGAGGAAAGAGCAAGGGCAGGATCTCACCTTTCACTAGGACCTCTATTGTGTCTTGTCTGTCCTCAATCCCATACATCACTTCACAGCGATAAATCCCAGTGTGGTTGGATCTCAGCGCCTTGATTTCCAAAGTGGCATCAGTGGGGATAGCGGGATAATTGGGCAAGGAGATCGCCTCCCTGTACTCGGTGTTGAGCCGGATTTTCCCACCGGTGGCCACTAACAAGACGACTTCTGTCCCGTTTGAGAGCTTGCTCCATTTGATCCGTGGGTTCAGAGTCCTCTTCCTCTGGGATGTTGAAGTAACAGGGGATGTTCAGGGAGCTTCCCAGGACAACACGCAGGGGAGACTGCTCAGGTATCTTGACTTCCAGGCCATCACTACTGTCTGCCAGTTCCCAAATAAAACAGTGGTTACATCAATAACACATTTAATCCAAAATATCCAGTGCTTCCATATGCTCCAATGCCTATATCTGCTTTGCAAATCTGTACCCACATATTCAGACATACCCTCTTTGACCTGCTTGGTGGAGGAGGGAAGGGCTCTGGAGATTGTCTACCTAGACTTTAGTAAAGTCTT